CTCTGCAACACCTGCCGGCTCACTTTACAAAACCACACTATGCAGACACCTGGATGAATCCACATCCCAAGCCACTTTATTCAGCCGGGTGAATTTCAGTGGTAAAATATACCGCTCATTACACATTCACGTCCATTCCAATAAATGTTTGGAAACTTAATCCGTCCATGTCTTTTCAGCAACTTACCTACTCCACAAGGTGAGGACCACCGGAAGTCAGCCTGTCTTCTGCACCTGATCATGGGGCTAGCTCGAGACTACACACAGTGAGAAGGTACTGGGCACATGGAAGTGAGCAGGTGTCACGTGTCACACGCACCATCCCAAATCTCCCGCCACAAAGCTCTGCATGGGCCTGAGGACCTGCACCCTCTTCATTCACTGACAGACTACAACCCTCACTGGTGCCAGTCTCAGAAATCTCTGTTTTACGTGAGCTAACAGATGCTTTTGTAGCACTATCTCTGCTCTGCAGAGCGTGAATAATATTACAACTAACACACCCTACAGCTAACTAGCAAGGTAAACGATCCCATTAAGGTTTAGTTGAATATCTAACTTGGGGATTTGGGTGTAAAATACAATGTTATGGCTTTAATTTACTGTGGGCTCCTGTTTCCTTTATTGAGGGAGGTGGGGGACAAGCCTGGGCTGTTCAGGATAAGGAGGTTTTTAATATAGCTGCTGCCTGCACCTGTGGATAAGTCGCCTGGGCATCCAGGGTGTGTGGCAGATCTGGGACTATTCTGGGATGTCATCTTCCATACCCAACATAAACTGCATGAAATTGTGTGTGAGGTCTGTAAGAACTCTATGAATTTATTTTGCATGTTCTATGAGCACTCTGTGTTTTACATGCTCTGTGAATGCGAAGTTGTCTTCCAAGGTCTACAAGTAAACCGTGAGCTTGTATTATGTACAAGATGGTGTTGATTTTGTGTTTCTCCGTGGCTTCAAACTCATTGAACAGTCACCGATATGGGAGTCATTTCAATGCATTGTTAAATCCTGTGGCCATTCGTGGGCATGCAGCCCCAGAGCCTCACAGCTCCATGAGGCCCCCAGCAGGAGCAGTGTATTTCTCAAAGCAGAAAGCATTCTTTCATCCCTTTCAGGTTATAGATTTTTGATGTGAAGTTGTGGCTATGGATAACACGAGGGGTGAAATGCACTATCCTCCTTCTCTGACTAGAGTCTGAACCTCTTCCTCTTAGATATAATTATCAACATACTTGCCATATATACTTAATATGTGTCTCAATTACTCCTCTCCCTGCTGGGACAAATACCTGATACTCACAAGGAAGAAAAGGCTTAGTTAGCTCACAGTTACTGGAAGATTCAGTCCATGCTCGGCTGGCGCCCAGGCAGAGTGGCACATGGCAGAGCGCGGCTTTTCATGGCAGTGGCAAAGAGCAAGAGAGCAAAGGGAGGAGGAGCAGCCACAATGGCTACAGAGAGCAAGTCTGTCTCTGTCTCTCTCATGTTACCTTCAGGCTCTCCACTCCAGGCTGGGGGTAGCACTCAGACCCGTAATCCCAGCAGTACTCAGACCCATAATCCCAGCCTTGGATCATGAATCAGCCACAAACTCTAGAACTGCGCCTCAATGGCTGCATGAGGCTTTGGGGGGACAAAGCCACACAAACCGTAACAATATGTCTATTTATTGATCTGCAAGTATTTGTTTATTTCTTATAGAGCAGTTGAAGGCAGTTTTTAATATAGTATAAATACTTCAGTATATCAGGCCTAAAAAAGGGGCATTTCTACTATAAGGTACTGTTAATATGCTTAGGGAAATAAACACATCTGCAATCTCATCTACTATTCTATTCATACTTCCCCATTGATCTCAGGATTATTTTTTATGCTCATTATATAGTTTTATTTTAATATGGTAGGAAGGACTTACCAACGCTCAGGGTCACTCTGCTGTCAGAAAGTGCAGGGGACTCTCCCAATGTCAGAGTTCTCATTATAGCACTAAGCGTAGCTACCTGGAGGCAGATTTTATTGCATAACTAAGTCAAGCTGGTGGAACCACAGGAGATCTATGTTGGCTGCCTGTTCATGTTAGACATGCGGTGAAAAATAAATGTCATGTTGAGATGCCTCCAAGCCCAAATCAGCATGGGCTGACAACACTGGGATCCTGGTGGTCCCGCCCTGCATGCATCAGAGTGGCTCCTGGGCTGCAGGAACTTTGGGAGGTTCTTCCTGCTTCTCACTCAGAAGCTCCTCAGACATCATTGTGAAGATTCATCAGATCCAAGCAAGAACTTCAACTGCCAAGATATTGACTCTTCAATTGGTGCGTCCAGGTGGCATTTTCAAAAGCCCATGACGATGCCCCAACCAGCAGAGTAGAATTCTTACACTCTGCTTTGACTCAGAGAACATCACCCATTTGCTGCTCCCTGGAGATAGCAATTTACAAACAGGAAAAGCCCTCCTCTCCCGGGCTTGCACACTACTCAGGAGCCCACAGACAGATGAGTAATGTTGTGGGCTATGAAGAAACATAAACCACGGGTTGGATGTGTCCGCCCAAGGTTCACATGTGGGGAACTTAATCTCCAAATTCATATGTTGATGAAATTTGGCAGCAGGGCCTTAGAAGATAATTACGACAGCATGAAGTCATGTGGGCGGGGTCCCCATGGCAGGATTAGTGGCCTGAGCTTGTATGATCTTGCTTCTTTGCCACAAGGGGCCGCCCAGGCCACCGTGCTATGACAGAGCAAGAAGGCCCTGCTCGCCGGATGCCCTGCGGTGCTCCAGGTCCTCTCAACCTACATACTCTTAAAAAAAAAAAAATTCTCTTTGCTTTGCATTCAGTTTTAGATATTCTGTTATAGCCATTGAAAACTGACAAAGACACAAAGCAAGAAGAATGGCAGGCGGGAATGCGCTTTAAGGTAGGTGTTGAGGTGATGGGTGCAAGCAGAGCTCAGACAGAGAGTCACCCAAAGGAGCCAGGGCAGAGCACTGGGCCAGCACGGCCGCAGGAGACTGCCCCACGCATGTAAGACACAGGCTCAGGGCGTGAGAGTTTCAGGGGACCAGGTGCAAGGTGGGAAACAGCGGGGTGGCAGGTCATGACGATGTCCTGTAGGCAAGGCTCACGAGTTGGAGTGTAGCCATGACCCGGAAAGTCACTGCGGGAAAGCCATTTGAAACCCACACCTGGTACCTGAAGAAGCTTCTGCGGCCTGCTTATCTCTGTACTCTTTTTTACCTGCTTATTTTCCCACATTTTTTTAGATCTTGAATTCCAACTTATGCATTTTTATTGTACATGTATTTTGGCAAGTTATCTTAAATCCCGCAAGACATAGCTATATATGTTTGTATTTAAGTGTGGTCTAAATCTCCAGCAATCTGAAGAACAAAAAAGCATTATGACTTGTGTTGAATCAACACTGCTGTTTAATATGATGCTTAAAACATGTAAGAAGGAAATCCACAAACTGAAATTTTTATTCCTATTCAGAACATAAGGAAATGCAAAACTCTAGCAGTAACAACGATCTCTCATTTAATCTCACGATGCAAAGAGACGCAATGTTAGCCCTAATACTGTAGACAGTCCTAGTATAAACATTCTGGGGAAGCGCTGTGTCACCGTGTCTTGGGTCACCACATTGATTGATAAATATTTCACGTTTGAACTTTAGATGTTCATTATCCTTCCTACTGAGTTTCCACAAACAAGTTCAGGCACTCTGTGCCTGGTAGCCCATGGAAAGTAGGTTACGCAGATGTTTCAATGAACCAATAAATGTGAAAAGAAAGCTTAGCTTCAGTCCGAAAAATAACATTCAAGCACTTACTATATTTATACATCTCTGCCTTTGAGATATATAGAATGCATGGAAGGAGGTACAAGTGCTTTCTGTCCATGGGCTGTTTGCTGAATAATGGGTTATATATTTATGTTAAGAATGTTTACTGGAACACCAGTACAGAAAGAGTGTGAAATTTCAGTGTCTCTTCCCAAAGAGATTATTCGGAGCTGTGACTAACACCAACAGTCATAAGATAGCCTTAGGCATTCGCTGAGTTTCCGTGACCAAGACTATGACTTGCACTGTACCAAAGCCATTGTAGTGAACAGAGCTATGCCACAACACAGAAGTTCTGTCCTCCAAATACGGAGACTGTAAGAGAACAGGCAGGATGGTCAGAGCGAGCCTAGTGAGTCAAGCAGGCGGCAGGGCTGGAGTTGCTTTGCCTGGGTAGTAGTAAGACGGAGCTGGAGCAGAATGCCAAGTGGCACAGATGGATTCCTGGAGTTCGCGTGAGGAGGCCCAATGGTCCTCTATGGCCCACCATCACTTGGTAGTTGTTGTGGCTTGGACCTCAGTTGTTCCTTAAAGACTCATCCTCTAAAGGCTGGGTGACCAGCATGTGGGCTCTTGGGAGTGGTTGGAATCTTGAAGCGATGCAGCCAGGAGAGAAGGAGGGAGGCAATCGAGGGTGTGCCATGGGGGGCGGGACCCAGCCCCTTCTTCTCCCTCTGTGCTTCCAAAGCTCTCGAGGCAGAGGCTTCCTGTACTACAGGCATTGCCATCTTGCCCTACCTCATTGCAGGTCTAAGTCATGGCGACCAAAGAACCATGGACTGAACCCATAAACCAGAAGAAACCTTCTTCCTCCAAGTGGATTTAGCTGTCTCAAGGGTTTTTGTCCCAGCAATAGAAGGATGACTCACACCATCGTTGAGGACACTGACAAAGTGAGCTCACGTGATAAACCACAGCTGCACAGTGAGACAACCCTCTGCAAGGGCAGAACAGAGGCAGTCGTGCGGGTCAAAGACTTTCCTTTAGTAAGCCTTCAAGATACTCTCCAGTTACCGCAGTAATGTGGGCTCATTGTATCCCACTTGGAAGACACAAAAAGCACCCAAAGGAAAGGAATAAACTGTAATCCCATTCTTTATTATTTATTTTTATTTTATTTTTTTGTGGCACTGGGGATTGAACTCAGGACCTTGCACTTGCCAGCATAATCCCATTCTTGAGAGAGAATCACTGTGGATATCTGGGTCTGCCTCCTTCAACCATGGTCTTCTGCCTGGAGCATGGCTCTGGAGTTGACGGTGGGCTGTGAAATTTCCACAAATGCCCCATGACAGGAAATAAAGGGGTGCCATTGCTCCTGTAGCAAGACCACCATGGCCTCCTGGCTGTCAACACATCCTAGCTTGTTTCTGACTTACATGAATGCACTCACCGGGGGCCCAGCACTGGGCACTGGAAACACGAACATGACTGCGGCGGCGGAAGTCCTGTGCTCCTGGAGACTACATTCTAGCCAGGAAAGTGCTGCAGATACCATGAGAAGTCAGAAGAGGCTCAGCGAGATTGGACCCCAGTGCCACCTGCGCTTGGCAGACCAAGTGATTCTCGGCCTTGAGGCTTGACAGCCTGCAGAGGGAAGATGCATTCGCTCTGAGAGTGGGACAGAGACACAGCAGCTTGGCACCCCCGCCGCCTACATCATCACAGCCTGAGTCAGAGAAGTGTCGTTGAGAGGCACGAGTGGAAATCAGTGATCCAGCAGCGCCAGGCCATGCTGAGATGCTGCCAGGCCTGTGTGTGGCTCTGGGTGGGAAGGTGCTTGGTGCGTAGAGCGCTGAAGGAGGGTAGTGTGCTGGGATGGCGGCACAGGCGAGTGGTGGGGCTGTAGGGTCAGCATGAAGCGGGGCCTTGGAGGTCGTGGTCCGGGTCCGGCCCTCCACTCAGGACCGCTCCAGGCCCTCCTCCCAGCCTCCCAGCTCCTCAGCTGCCAAGGAGTAGTGTTTTTTTTGTTTTGTTTTGTTTTGTTTTTTCCTCCCTGCCCTCTTGAGTGGCTGTGGGGCTCAGCTCAGTCACTGTGCCTGAAAAAGTGCTCACAAGGCGAGGGCCTGCTGCTGCTGACTGGAAGCAAAACAGACAACCTGCACCTCGTGGTCACTCACTGTATCACACAGAAGAAAGTTGGTGTGTGACTCGGTGCTCCTCTGAGGAGCTGCTTGATCCCAAGAGCCTTCAAACCTGCCCTAAGCTCAGGCAGAGATGAACAAAGCTGTGCAGAGTGGGGTGCAAAGAGGTGGGACAGTTACAGGTGGTAGAGGGGGCTGAGGCCAGCCTTGGTTCCCATCCCATTCCTACTCTCAGTTGTTGGGTGTGGGAGGTGGGTAGAGGACTCGATCTTACTCTGAAGACCCCACCAGTACCAAACTGCTATTGTGCTGTGACATGTCAAAGGCAGGGGTCACAGCGGGTGTCCCAGGGGAATGACCCTTAACCTCTGTGTTGTTTTTCTCCTAACTTCGAAAGCTAGAGAGGTGAGAGAGCTTGAAACCAAACAAAACATGCTAAATGAAAAGAAAATAACCACAGAAGAAAGACAAATAGGACATCCAAGGGTCCTCTCCAAAGCAGCGGCCTTGAATTTCATGAAGTCTTTTGTTCCCATTATTTACTCTTATTAATCAGGTTGAGGTATCTGGTTTCCCAAGCGCTTACCTACAAGCAGGACTCCTCCTCAGATACGCCTTTGTCACCCTAAACCAGGCTGCATGTGGGACAGGTGACCTGAGAACTCCCGTTTGTTCTCTATTTTCACATTCTATTATGGAGGCCTAGGCACAGAGCTAGCTAATCAGCTTGATTTATAACCCGAAACCACTCCACCTCACCTGCACCATATCCATTACTGACGTTTATGTAATGCAGGTCCCCAAAGGCGCCACGGCACTTTCTGCACCACACGTTTTACTGTCTCCAAACCAAAAAGGAGGCTGTGCTATTTTGATTTGCAATTCCCACTTCAAGTTGAGAGGATGCTCAAAAGGCTCCACAACTGGGGGCAATTTGGATTTCAGATGTTTTTAGAATAGGGGTGTTCAATCTGGTAAAGTCTACATAAATTTTACAAAATCTGAAAAACTGTAAAATCTGAACCAGCTCTGGATCCCAGCACTTCAGTTAAAGGATTCTCAACTTGCCTGTATTTCAGTCACCTTCACCATCAGCATGGTCATCAGCAGAAAACAGCCAAGTAACACGAAGACACTAAGAAGAAAATATTGTCCTGACCCAGGTCAGGTGCTGCTAGCATTCTCGCTATTTCTAGTCACAACCCCCAGGACCCTTTAACATACAGAAATAATTACGTGTGTTTAATTAAAAATGTGAAAGCATTACAGCCAAGCAAAAGTCGCTCCTGACACTGTCCATCTTGACTTATCCGGCCCCTCCCATGAGCATGGGTTTGGTAGGTCTCTTTCCGCACATACTGTTTTGCTATGTGCATCTGTGTGTGACAGTCCTTTCGCCTTTGCCATCTCTATAGCTTCTAGTCTACTTCCTACTGCTGTGTACAAGCAGTTCGTCGTGCTTACGTGTCAGGAATGTATTACTTTTTTTCCTGGGCCGTCTGGGTTTCAGCAGCTCTGGGTCCTTCAAAGCACACATGTGTTACTGGTAGGAGAATACTTCCTTTAGTAACCAAGAGTGCCCAGCACAAGAGAAATCAGGCCTCCTGGTACCCGGAATGAAGATTCGCTGCCGTGCAGCCCTGCTCCACCCAGGGGGCCTGGAACACAAGATTCATAAAAGCAGGCAATTTTGGAGGTCCTGTAAGGGCTTGAGGTGGGGGGAGTGCTGACAGAAAGAGGAGGCCCTGCCCAGCTCCCCAGGCCCGGTTCCTCACAGGGCAGATCCCAGTGGTCGCCAAACACGGATGGCCACTACGGTGCGTGGGGGCGGGCAGCCCCAGACCATGGCAAACACGCTTTCCTCCCATCTCACCCCGTAAAAGGGGAGGACGATCAGCCGCGGGGCACATCTTAAGATGAGGGGCTGTGTTCTCAAGTCACTGGAGCAGCTGACTAAAACCTAGGTGATCGGACGCCAGTGTGGGATGTACGTGGGGTCCCAACGGGTCCTAAGACGCGGTTCCCAGCCACCCCTGACATTTCTGCGTGGGTGCGAGCTTTGGAGACCCAAGACTCTGCAAAGGCTGTAGGGCTCCCTTGAGCCCGATACTGCTCAGCTGCCTCCTGGAGCGGACTTGTGCGGCTCCAAGTCTCACAGCCAGCGTGGCACGCTGGGGAGTAGCCCAGGTGGAGTGGCCTGCACCACGCGCTAGCGCTCGGCGTGAACAGTTTCCGGGTCCACTTCTGAAACCCGCAGGCTCTGCGGAGGCACCTCTCTAGCCAGAATGCTACCTCAGGTGCCCCTTTCCGGAGACTGCGTTGTCCCAACTTACTTTGGGCAGCTGGAGGACCCCCAACCCACACTGCGCAGCCCTTCCTGTCTGCCCCGCAGCGTCCTGGGGCCTAAGCTCCGCTCAGGAACAACCCGAATGCGCAGGGGGGACACGGGGCGGAGCAGCCTGGGGGATAGGGGGCCGCGTGGCCGCGGGGACACAGCCCTGCTCTGGTCCCCCCTCGCGCAGCTGCCGTCTCCTTCGCGGGCCAGGCGGGGCTCGCAACTGCCAAGACCTACAGGTCCCGAGAGCCCCGGAGGGACTGGGCTCCCCGCCCCCGCCCCCGCCCCGCTTCCCACCCTTCCCCTCTTCTCCTCTTCTAGCCGGCGTGCGGGCGGCGGGGGCGTGCTCGGTCCAGCGCGGACTCCGGCAGGCGGGCTGGGTGCAGGGCGTGCGGGTCAGGCCAGCCCTGCGGGGGAGGCGGCCGGGCCGGGCCAGACGTCGGCTCCGGGCAGCGCCTTATAAAGCCGCGCCCGCGGCCCGCCAGGCCGAGTTTTCAGCGCCGCCCCGAGCGCGGGCGCAGCAGCCTCCGGAGAACGAGCGGCGCCTGACCCGGACGGAAGCGCAGGAACGCGGAACCCAGACGGACCTCGGCTGCGCACGGAGCAGGGCGGACCAGGGGCAGAGCCGGCTCCCGACAGACGCGGATCCCGGACAGACGCGGGTTCCCGACAGACTTGGGACAGACTTGGGACGGATCCGGCTTCAGACAGACCGGGGCCCTGAACAGACCCCGGCTTGCGACAGACCCGGGCAGGATCCTACTCTAGACAGACCCCGGCTTGGGACAGACCCGAGACAAACCCCGCCTTGGGATAGACACGGGAAAGACCTGGGACAGCCGGCTCCAGCCAGACCCACACCGCGGACAGACTCCGCCTTGGGACACACGCGGGGGAGACCCCAGCTCCACACGGCTCCTGAAGGGCCCCGACCCTCGCCAGACTCCAGCACTGGGCCTATTCCCGGTTACAGGGCGCCCCGGCCCGCGCCTCCCTCCTGCGGGCTGTGGGCTGCGGGCTGCGGGCGGCGGGGCGAGGGCGCCCCTCGGCGGCAGGGGTATGCGTGGCCCGCGGCATGGCCTCGGCGGTGTTTGAGGGCACGTCGCTGGTGAACATGTTCGTGCGCGGCTGCTGGGTGAACGGCATCCGCAGACTCATCGTCAGCCGGCGCGGCGACGAGGAGGAGTTCTTCGAGATCCGCACTGAGTGGTCGGACCGCAGCGTACTCTATCTGCACCGCAGCCTCGCAGACCTGGGCCGCCTGTGGCAGCGGCTACGCGACGCCTTCCCCGAGGACCGGCCAGAGCTGGCGCGCGGGCCCCTGCGGCAAGGTGCGGGGGTTGGGTCAGGGAACCGGCCTGGGCGCTGAGGGTGGGGGGACGAGACGCTTCCAAAGGCCCGGAAGTGAAGCACCCCTTAAATGCAACTGCGGACTTCCTCTCCGGCTAGTCTGGGAATGGGGATTCAGGCCCCTCAAAGTAAGTATATGAGGTGGCGGTGCTAGGAGGACCCGGAGCCGGGTGGAGCCCTCAGGGATGCACTGCTGAGTGTCCCCAGGGACAAGCACCTCCCAAGGAAGGCTCACTTGGCGCTGGGTCCCAGCTCTGCCCAAGTGGTAGCCTCATTCCCCATGTTGGGGGCCGGCGGCCGCGGGGTGGGAGCGTGGGGACGCTTTGGTGAACAGTTAAGGGGTGTCCCAGTTGAGTCGGGCAGCAGTCTCCGCCCCCTTCACCCGGAGGGGTGTGCCCACTTGGTTGCGGCTGGTGACGGCTGCGTTTGGACTCGAGGTGCCACGCAACAGCCCTCGTGCCCGCGCGGGATGGCCCAGAGTCCCCACCCAGGGGACGGCCCACATTTAGCTTTGCTTAGCTGTGGCTGCCTCTCCCTGGCCTTGCGACTGCTCCCTTGGCCAGGACTTGCTTTCAAAGTACGGTGGTGGCTTTTCTCTTCCAACCTAGGGAGACTGGGCTGGCAGAGGTGAGGGACCTGGACCGAGGGCAGAAGCTGAGACTGGAAGAATGAGGTGGGGCTCTGGGACAGGGGGAGCAGAGCTGAGTCGGTTCCCTGTGCGGGACAGGGCCTCCGAGCCTTGCTTCTGTGGTCATCTGCAAGCAGACCTGGGTGAAGGGCTGCTGCCTGGCAGAGCTGTCTCCTCGCTTCTACTCGAGGTCTTTAACCTCCACTTTCCCTGATGTGTCTCATGGCTTGCAGGAGGTGCTTGCCCCCCTCTCACACGCAGCATCTGCAAAGGCTCCTGAACCAGCCTGTGCTGAGGCCTAAGTGAGGACGACCACCCTCCTCTGGGCTGCCGTGGACTGCCATGCTCAGAGTAGTTGGTGTTATTTCATGCATGGAAGCTACTTGTAATTACGATTATTACTTGCAGTAATGGGAACTGAACCAAGGCTTTTGCACTGCATCGCCTCCCATTTTTATTTTGAGACAGGATCCCGCTAACTCACTAAGTTGTCCAGGCTGAGCTCAAACTTTCCACCCTCTTCCCTTGGAGCCCAGGGTACATATTTTGAATTCAGTTAATAAATCCCCAAATCAGGAAAGCATCAGGAAGGAACAGGAGTTCATTTGATGGCTTTTTCAGGGTCAAGGCAGACCATAAACAAACTGAACTTGGTGAGTCTCCCTCTGACTCCTCTGACCGGGTGTCTGAGCTCTGCTGTGGCCTGAGGCAGACTGGCTGGGATCCGGCTGCTCACCTGCAGCACAGTGCCTGTGGCTGCGTCTCTGTGAGGTTAAAGTTCGTGGTTGAGTCTGACGTGGAAGTTCCACAGAGGCATATTATCTTCACCAGCAGCTTCTCACAGCTGGACCAGATGTGGAGGCTCAGGTGAAGTCTCCTTGCCTGGAGCACATGGAGGGGAGAGGGAGTTCCAGCTCAGCCTCTTCTGCAGGGGTGCATATGGTGCTGGGGGCATCTCCATGGTTGGGCTGCAGGCAGTCACACTTACGCGATGAAAGAAATGTTTCGGAAGTTGTGACCTCCCATGAGTGAGAGCAAGCAGGAGGGCGGTAACTGCCTCAGATGTCTCCAGAGAAACACAAGTCAGAGGTGGGGCTCAAAGCCTGGTGACCCAGCTTCAGTGGAGGGTGTTAGGATAGGACCTGTGACCATGTGGGAAGGACTTGTTGACAGCTTGCAACAGCGCAGGGGCCATGGCTGGCAGTGAGTTGTGCTGGATGAAGGAGGGTCCCGGAACCAGGCTGGCTGACCGCAAGCCCCATCTCCATTCTGTCCTTCGCCTCTGTTTGCAGGCAAGCTGTCCTGTCCCCAGTATCACCTTGGTTTTGCTCTACAGTGCCGGGGAAACCCTGCTTCCTGGGATCCTTTTAAATCCAAAGAATTAATTTTGTAAGCAAAATATACCATAGTAAAGCAACAGATTTTACTTCATTTCCATGCAGTTATCATTTGCATAAAAAGATGGTCTGGATTTGCAAATTACATCACAAACGCAACCAGACCTCCTGTTGTGCTGGTAATGCCAGCTTTTCTAAGTGTAATTCTCCAGCGGATCCCCATGTCTGTGGATTAACATTTCTGAGTTGGGTTATGTTTGCACTCTGTAGTATCACTCAAAAACTGCCAGGAGATTTGGGTTCTGAGAGTGGTGGCAGCAGGCTGACAGTTGCCTGTGGTGTCCCACTACACACTTGGGGTGATGAGGCCTGGGACTCTGCCTTGCATCTTTGAATCTACAAGCAGATAAAGGGGTGTCAGTCCCTTTTCTGGTCCCCTAAGTACAGTGTATTGGGAAAGCTGGCCTGGAGAGGATTTCACACCCCCCACCCCCCCTGCACTTCACCCATGGTACACACGGTGTCATCTTAGCAGCCCTCAGTGGGCATTGCACATGTCCTGGTGATGCCTCTGCTGGGACATCTAACCCCCTGCCTGGATAAGGCACAGTGCTCTGGCTCCTTAGGACATAGCTGGCCACAGGACTAGCCCTGCTCCTGTCCTGTTCCTCTGTTGTTGGAGCTTAGGTCTCTCACTGGTCACGGACACACCCACCTTTCTTTTCCTGTCCCCCCGGCCCTGGGGAGGGAGGTCGCTACTTCCCGGTGACAGCACCAGTGGGTCACTGAGGTGCTCCCTCGAGGCAGCCTGCACTCCAGGCCCACTGGGTCCTGTCTTAGATTTAAAGCCCCTGTCTGCAGTATCAGCGTGACTCAGGGGTGACTCAGGGCTTCCGGTGGACTGTGAATCAGGTCTCCTAGGTCAGAAGCTTTGGCCTCTAAAACATCAACAAGCAGAGTTCTCCATTGACTGCCTGAGGCTTTTGGATTTTTTTCTTTTTTCTTTTTTTAGTTCCAGGGCTGTGACCTCAAAGCTGACCTGGTCACCTGCAACCCATCAGGTGATCTTTGATTCCTGGGCTGTAAGGTCAGCATTATGATTTCATTCAATGAAATGTCTACTGAGCATTGTGATAAGCTCCACTCCAGTGCAAGGTGAGGGACACTGAAGTGAACAGACCACAAGGTAAATACATGACAAGGTCTTTCAAATCCAGTCATTGGCAACATTGGCAAATGGCTTGAGTATTCAGAAGAAATCTAAGCCAACAAAGGAACTGTGGCTGTGGAGTGGGGAGAGGTGGCTCTTGGACAACATTGTCAGGGGCTGTTGCAAGGACAAGTGGCCTTCGAGGCTGAGCAAGCCAGTGGATACCTGGAAAAGGGCAGCCGGTGCAAAGGCCCTCGGGCTGCTCTGTGTTTGATGAGTCTGAGCAACGAGGAGACCAAGGGGCAGGAGTGAGGAGCACGGCCAGTGAGGTGGGCAGAGGCTGGTCCTGGTTGGGCTCCTGCCTGGACGTGGTCATCATCATGGCTCTGTGAGCCAAAGATTGGTTTGATCTCAATTGAACACTGGTGTGGTGCTGAGCAAGACCGGAGCAGAGCAAGGGGCAGCAGAGCCTGGAGAGAAGGGGTGGACCCTGGTGGGCTTGGCAGGGAGCAAGCAGTCCTCACTTGGGGATGAGCAGGTGTTTCTATCCCGAGGTGCGGGTTGTGTTGGGCAGTGGGGCTGCTCTTCGTGTGGTGGGGGCAGAGGTGGCCAGGGTGCCCAGCGGCAGTTGGTGTGTGTCCTGCGGCGTTTGCTCCATGTAGGGCTCTTCACACCAGCCTGTGCACACGCTGGCCCTTTTTAGTCTCTGTTCCCCCTCCTGGTGACACTGACACCATGCATGCTGGAAGACCATCTTCCTAGGCTTGAGGTCCCTATCACAGGAATCATGGCCACTTGGGTAGGACATGGATATGACCTCTGAAATGGTCCCACAGCCGTGACACCACAGGGCCACGCTGTTGTAGGGGAGAAGCTGTGCTTCCCAGGAACTCCGGGAGGACGGTCCCCAGGGAGGGGACAATGGCAGAGCCTGGAGCTGCCTTCGTGTGCGGGAGTCTGGGTGGACAGCAGTGCACAGGTCCTGGTCACCTCCATGTAGCCTCTCTGCTTGGTCTCCCTTCTGCTTCAGTATTGTTCCTAGGTCCTCCCTGCTGCCCACCCGAGGCTCCTTTTCTGAGGTCCTGTGAACCTGGCCCTGGGGACCCTGAATTCCCCTTCCAGGTGCTTGGTAGCTGATGCCCAGGTCACTTTATGCCCCCTCCCCCGAGTGTCAGAGCAAAAGCTTGCTTCTGCTGTCCATTGGAGACCACTGAGAACCTGCTGGCAGGGTGCACCATTCCGGGGCTTCCCCCACCTGGCACCTGAGGACCCTGCGATTCCGGGCCTGGTCTTCCCCCCTGTTTTCCAGAGGCAAAGATTGCACTGTAAGTAGCTGAGTGGGGCAGAGCCAGAGTGTGGAACACGGCCCGAAGGCTGACAAATGGACACTGTCGGTGTGGCCCAGCAGAGCCCAGCTTGTGTCTGGACAGTGCTCATTCATGGTTTGGGACTTGGGGGCTGCAGAGCAACCTGCAGAAGCAGGAGCCCGTAACAGCTGTGCGGCTGAGGGGCACAGCTGGAGAGAGCAGCCAGCAAGGTGCACGCTGCCACTTGCTGGCACTGCCGTGGCACAGAAGGCCCTCTGTTGTGCAGTGCTGGGGCGGGCCAGGGTCTGCCGTGTGCAGGCCCCAGCCATGCCCTCACGCACCCAGCCCTGCTCATGGGTGCTCTTGTTCACCTCCAGCTCCCTGGGTACAGGCAGCGGCACTGGCTGCTTTCCTTGCCACCATCGCAGGCCCAAGCAGCCCTGTGAGCCCTTGAGCCATGCGGTTCTCTGCCCTTGATGAGGGGGCCGGGGGCAGCGTGAAGGCAGCAGGGTCTTGGCTGCGTTTGTCCCGGGCCCTTGAGGGAAGCCTCGGCATCACA